TATATATATATATGCATAAATCTCGAAAAATTTTGATTGCCCAGATTAAAAAAGATAAATTGGGAAACATTCCGCTGAAGAAAAGATACAACTACTGATAAAGTTGACCAATTGGAGAGACACTAACAGACCAGTAGACAGCAGATCGAAAGGCTCGCAACTGAACAACAAGAGATAGACATACATGTCAATAATCAAACAAAAAATTAGTACCCATAACAACCTCACAACTATCAATATTAGGCTCTCTCAACAACTGTCCCAAAGAACTCCAAAAGTAACCTGTAAACAAGCAGACGATCGACTACCATAAGGCCGACCGACTGCCTCCCTCAAAGCTGGCCAGCTTCTTAGAGCGAAGGACGATGAACTACCTCTCTCAAAGCCAACCAGTTTCCCAGAGCAAATTTGACCGATATCCATGCAAAATAGTTGACCGACACCAACTTAGTTGACCGACTTGGGGACCTACCAACCAGAAGGTCCTAGTACATCAAATGATGGCAAAATCATTTATTAATATGAAAAGACAAGACAAAAGAAAATAATGTTCTGTAACACCCTTTTTTACCTTTAGGCTCTCTATCTTTTATAAATAGAAGGTGCATAGAATGTATAAATGGGCTTTAAGACTCTAAACTTTTGGCTCTTCTCTTTAGACTCATACTCTGTAAGGAGATATCTCTTCTCTTTTTCTTGCAACCTTCCAGTTACAATATATAAAATTGGTCAGAAAGTCTTTACGGGGCAAGTCTTTGTGTGCTCTTTTTATTTCTTTCTCTCTTTATATTTACTTCTCCCTCAGGGTTCCTACCACTCAGATCCTTGGGCATGCCTTATAGGAAAATTTGAATTCAACACATACACACACAATCATTGTGAAATCGGTTTTGGGTTTGATTTTGAATGAATCTGCAACTGGACTTGTACATCCATCCATTATTTTCCTACCCTGCAGTCAGTCACAAGTACTTTATGAGAGTTGGGAAAAAGTGCTTCTTCCTTGGAAGCCGATGGATCCAGAAGTCTGTTGCACCTGTATTGAAATGAGAGATGAGAATGATATGAATGTACTGATGGATTAAACATCTCAGAATTCATCACCTATTCAGCCTTACTTCAGTTCTAACGCACTTTTGAAAATGATCAAGGAGATAGAAAAAGAGGTGCAGAATCTTATGCATGCAATTAGGAATATTTCTAAAAAGTTGGATCACTTGAATTAGAGAGTCAAAGAACATTTTGAGCATACCGGTCGTATTAAAGATGGTTTGGTACGTATGGTCAAGAAACATGGTTGGATTAGGGAGGATTCGACTGATGAACTTTCTTATCTACTTTTATAGCTTGTATGTGCACTATCAATCTATGGAAGATATCCAGGAGGACGAGAGTGAAGAAGATATTTAAACTTGATCTATGCATGGAACGTTTTGTTTAATATTTCTTGTTTTAGTTGTTTGTTGTGTTGGATTGCATTTACTTTTATTGTTAAACCATGTCAATGTTTGTGTTTGGTATCTTGATATATATATATTTCAGTATTAGGATGTTTTGGTTTGCTTTAAACACTGAATATATGCTTGTTGGTTGAAAAATATTAGTTTGTAATAGCATAGATTTTATATATAAAAGTAAGTTTTGTGTTGTTTATGAAAGATTCATGTTAGAGTAATGCTTAATTATGCTTATAAAAGTTCATTTGAGTTAATTAGAGGTGGGGGTAAAGCGGTACGGAGCAGATTTTCAAAGAAAATGAAATATGGAAAAAGGAGAAATATATTTTCATATTTTGTGTTTTTCTTTTACATAAGTTATTTAGAAGTTGTTACTATTTTGTCAAAATATCAAAAATACCAAAAAAATTTGAATTTTAATTACTGTTAAATTATCTATAGTTTAAGTAATTATTTTTTTGAAATAAAAGTTTGTTGTTTGAAAGTGCATATTGCCAATTTCCTCGTAGGATCGATATTCGGGGCTTAATCAAAAAATCCTATATTACTTGATAACGATACATATACTTGCGTAGTATCCCAATATATATATATATATATTCAAGATGAAGTTTTTGGTACTGTTGTAAAATAAGAAAATATAAGTGAAAATATAATTGCATACATTGTTATACTATTGCATATAAAGAGTCGGGATCAAAACACCAACTTTGAAATCCTGCATAATATAAGCTAATGCAATAAGCAAGAATGTTGTTAGGATTTCATAATTTCAGTGATATAATCAACTATTAGGGTTTGCCTTTGTAGAGATACAAGACTTCAAAATAAAATAAACCTTAACTTATACCAGAAAGGCAAGGGAAAAACTTTTAGTTAACCCAGACCCATAAATCTTAAAACTTCTCATCAAATGATTAGAACTATTTTAAGGCAATAGTTCTATCTCTCGGGGTAGTATATTTTTCTTCAAATGATGCATCCAATCATTTAAATAAAAAACTTTCAAGTTCTTTTGTGGACACATCAACTCATAAAACATAAAAAAAAAAAAAAAATTCTTCCACCAATGAGCCTCACGATCTCCTTGAAGTGGACCTGCCTTCATTATTTTCTTCTCTCTTCATCATTAGATCTCTTTAAGACCAGTGCATAAACCTTTTTGATAAATGATATCTAACACCTAAACTTTCATATTTACATATAACCCTCAATTCTTCATTATCACATTAAAAATATCACTTTTATTTAGCTTTTAAAGTGCAATACATCTTTTCATGTAAAGATTTATAATACCAAATCAGGTGTTAGTTATATAAATACATGAGAATTATAATGTATGCATGTAAAACTCTCTTATTTTACTTAGATTAGTTCTTCCGACTCCAAACCTTTTGTCCTTTTAAGAAACCATTTCAACCAATAGCCTCAACAATAAAGCTTGAAATTGAAATTTAAAATTTTAAACTAAGCCGACGTGATGTATTGTTTAGGTGTCTCCCAATGTTAGAAAGAAAGTTAAGAACATCTGTCGCCCACACACATGCAGGCTGACGACGTAACTTAATTTTTTAAATTTGTGTTATGTCGAAGCCACAACTAATACTCATTTTAAGACTCAAATTATAAAGACAAAATAGTTCAAGCATACGGCTCATTCAGAGAGGTTAAAAAGTGCTTCCTAATTTTATTATATACAAAAGCCGGCTTTGATATATATATAGTTCCGCAAGCCGTGGCCTGTTGGTTGGCGGGGTTCACTGTAAGTCCCCTCAGATTATGGGTTCGATTCACAGTTGCACTGGGTTCTCGAATATTTAGTCAAATGGCGCTGGCTCTGATCATGGGGCCTAGTGCATGGTAAATCGGTATTTGAGCCTCTG